AACTGTGAATAGACTGCAGATACTGGGCTGTAATTACACCTTTCAGATACACAGAGCAGGTGTGGCATCAATCCAGTAAGACACAAGATAGCTTCTCTGCCCTCTTCCTGATTATTGCTGAAATTTAGCCAAGAGACTTCAATGTCCAACAAAACAACACATCTGTGACCTAATACTGCCTTGAGCCTCCTTCTTTCTTCACTGAGTAGCAACAAACTCATCCTATCACACTCACTACAAACCCTAACCCCAGAAACCAGCAACAGTTATTTCAGTAATTCTTTAATCTTCAAAAGACAACCTCCAGTCAACCACTAAGCTTTCCCTTACTTATCTGGAACACTTTCACTGCCCCTCAGCACCACTTCGCTGTTGGCACTTTTGTCCCTACACAAGAGGATGGAACACAACCAAATGTCTGCTTTCAGCTCCCCAGCATTTGCACTACTTAACTACAAAGTCAAGCTGGGCGCAGCCACCAATTTATCTAACAATTCCAGACACTATTAACTCCTGTACTCTTAGGTCCCTAGCCATTTTATCTATCCAATTAAAATCACTATTTTTTTTCATCTCCATGTACTACAATAACAAGACAGTTAGCAGAGAGCATAAACAGAATTTTTAAATATGAAATATGCATATACTATGGTTAATGAAAATGCACGGAATTTTCCATTCTTTGGAGATCACCATTTAACTGCCCTTCCTCTGTTCCCTTCCACTACAATTCTCACATTACTTCTCTATAAGGCTCTGAGTATTTTCCTTTCTTCTTTCCTTTCTCCCTCCTTGCCTTCTTCCTTCCTTCATTTCTCTAAACCTGTCCATCTCTTCTGAAAGTTTTTCTCTACAAAACTGTTTTATTCTTCCTCATATAAAGCTACAGTTTTTGTATCACACAACAAATTAGGTTGGACCTCAGCAGGTCAAAGTAGGTCTAACTAATTTTACATGAGATATCTTATAGCCTTTCTCACTCCTGCCTCTGAAACTCTGAGCTCCATTTGCCGTATGATGGTCAACACACTGCTCACAAAGCTAGAAGGAGTCAAAAAGGAAAAAAAGCAATTTTTAGATGCTTAGAAATAATTGTAAGAGCAGCCTTCTGGGCTAAATGGTAATAAATGGAATATAAAATGCTCCTTTTTGGAAAATTGATTCATCCCTATCCTATCATATATTTAAGGAATGTGACGCACTAATTTATGCATGTATTGCACATAAAAAATCACAACAATTTCATCAAACTAGAAGAGTATAAGTAGTTGGAATCCACTTCACAGAATGAAAGGTTCTTGTAGAAACAACACTAGGTACCTAAGAACAACTATTTCCAAAGAAGACATTGCATCTCTCTACTTATTACAGCCTGACCACATAACTCCCTCCTTTACCTAGAGTAAAATTATTCAGACAGGTTATTTGTAACTTTTCTTCAGTCAAATGCTGAAATGATCTGTAATTGGAGATTCTAATGTGCATTCAATCCTAATATAAAATATGCATTTTTCAGGTCACACATTTTAGACAAACTAAAAATATGGATGAATCACAAAGTATTTAGAAACATAATTCCTAATTTAGTGCTTACTTTTCCACTGATTTCCAATATGAAACAAGCTTTATTTCAATAACAAGTAAAGTACTCAAACAGAAATTAGATACTTAAATAAGGTTATGGACTGAGGCTAATCTGTAATTTATATTTCATTGTTTCACAGAGTAATGAATTGGTAAGCAGTGTAATTATTTTTATTTCACTAACATTTTGTTATCATTTACTATTTCAAGTAATAGACTTTGAGCTAGTCTTACTAACCTCCTCGAGCAAAGCTATTGGATAGATTTACATCCAAATGTCCTGGCACTACCTGCTTAAACACAGTAGACATTCTTGAAGCCCTCCTTTCAGTGCCTAAAGTCAGCCAAAAAAAGAATACAAGATTAAAAAACTACAGTGTTACTCAAACTAACACTTTACATAACTGATACAAATGCCCTTTTTCACACAATACAGCTAATTCTTGCCAATGTAGTACTTCAGATTTATTTTTTAAGAAACATGTATACATTGGAAACAGTACAGAGATGTTAGATACAGCTAAGCAATCAACATATTTTACAGTAAATGAAGCAAAGCATGTACTTTGGGAATGGTGTTGTCTTACAAGAAAAGCCACTGTTTGACGGTATTAGGCCAATTACCACCAACTGAGTAAGAAAAGACAGACACAATTTCAAGTCTCATACTCCCCTTTCTAAGACAGTGGGGTTACCTTCACATAAACCTTATCAGGTTTCATCACAGAATAACTGAAATAAAACATGGATTCATTTTTATATAGTTCCACATATGCATTGCTCAAATAGTGTATTTTGAAAGACTTTTCACAGCAAGTAAATCTCTACTTGGAACTGACAATAAAAGCCCATTATGAGTATATAACACACATGAAAATGCCTGCATGCCCTCCATTGCTGCTGTAGCTAAATATTGCATCTGTTCATACAGAATCTGAGTCTGCAATCTTGTATTTTCTCATTATAGGAAATAGAATAGTATTTTGAATTGTCTTCAATTTGGCATTCACTTATTCAATATACAGATTTCGATAAACTTAATTTGTTATAGAAGACTTTAAAGTGGATCTTTGCTTTTAATTATGTTATATAATCTAATTGTTGCATTTGATATAAAAAAATTGGACATTTTTGGCATCGTAATATTCTGCAGAACCTTATTTTATTTGTTCCAGAATTGTAATAAATTACTAATGCCTCAAGATTGGCCTGTCATACTCAAGTGAATTTTATCAAAAACTATGACCCACAGGTAGGTAATCATTTACTGTCAGATTTAAGAATATTGAAAAATATTTTGGGAAAGATTGTAAACATTCTTTACACATGGAAAACACATTCATTGGAAGTAAGAGTGAATGAGCTAACTGGAAAATGCAACAATAAAGAAACAACAGAGTTCATTTGGGAGAAACTGAATTAACACCAAATCAAAGAAAAGTCACTTTTCAACTCAACGATAGAAAATCACTATGTAAACCAATTTTACCTGGAGACAGAGCAATTGTTGGTCTAACAGTGAGAGTATTACTGCCATTCATTTTGCAGTGGACGGATATCACATTCAGTAAGGCTTGTAGGTATTTTTCCTGTTCTATACTGCTTGAAGATTCTAAAGAAGCAGGAGCTAGACGCATAAGAAGAATGGAATACATCAAAATACAAATACGCTTATAAATACATAGAATAGCAAAACAAAAAGCTTACTATATAAAGCAGAGCATTGAAAACGTCATGGTTTATCAAAGGTTCAAAACCCCATTCTTTTGATGACAAAGAGTGCTCAGCTGTTCACCTAGATGTTCTCTTGCATTCCACTCCACAAAGCTAATCTTCTGGAAGTCTGTTACCTCATGGTTACTACATAAAATATTCACCATTAGCCAGTGATCACTACAAACAGAAAGGAAATTATGTAGTTTTCCCTTCACTTTCAGAACAAAAAGCAACACCTCTAAGTTTGTGCTATTTGTAAGTAAATTTCAGCCTTTAAAAAAAAAGTGTAGAGAACAGACAGCAAAATTTAAGTTAAATCCATACTCAATCAGCTCTTCCTCATTCCAGTAACGGAAGTTACTTACCTATAACTGGAGGTTCCTTGAGATATATTGCCCATTTACTGAAAGTATACATACATCAGAAGACAGTGTTCATGCACTCTGCTGCATTTAGAGACATTAAACGGACACAATCTACATGTCTTTCAGGTAATCTACCTCCAGAATCTGACCTTTTTAGTGGAATAAAGAAGGGAGGAAAGAGGATGGACAGTGCATATACACCTGGAAAACACATGTCAAGGGATCTCCGCTTATGAAAAGTAATGTTCCCATTCTCTAGTGACAATCCACCTGCTCCTTCACCAGTAAGTAACTTCAGAAAGCATCTTCCCACATGCTTAGGTAACTTGTAGGAGGAGGTTGCCCTTGTAGGCTGCCCTGTTGTAAGAACCACAATTCCTTCTCTGAAAACCTCTGAATAATAATTTATGTGCACGTAGTTTCAGATGAATACTCTACAGACGTCAGAAACAGAATCGTTTTTCAGTTGTTAACTGACATTGCTTAATTTGCTGGAGACATGGAAAAGGATCATTTCAGAAAGAGAGAAGAAGCTGCAAATGACTGGATGAAAGCAAAGCCACAGAGGAAACAGACACAGTTTAAAAAACAGAGGATGGAGGGAAAAAAGGCAAGATGAGAAGGTATGATGCTCTGAGAAAGTACTGAAGGAAGTACAGAATCAAGGGGGGTGGGGAGTGGGGGGTGGAAATCTTAACCAGAAATACTCCACCCATTTGTGTTCAGGTGCAAGGACTTAAAGAAAGGGGAAGAGATGAAGGTCAGGTCCTGGGCCACACTATGATGACAAAAAAGTGTCCAGTCTCAATGAGTCAGACTTTTTTCAAATGCCAAACAAAAGTTTTGGAATTCTAGTTTATTGTAGCCACCTCTGGACTCACTGTAGGACAAAAATGTCATAGCTGCTTAAACCAAGATTTGGTATCTTGACCACAAGAGCTAAGATTCAGAAAAAGAGATAAAGTGAGTCAAAGAATTTGACCGAGCACATTTTGACAAACCACAATGGTAACTTATAAATAGTTTTAATCAGTGATGATCCAATCAGATCCTATGCTGGAGACTAATAGTAAGCTAATTAGCTGGAGGTGGCAAAAGAAATTTCAAGATAGCCCTGTTAAAATTAGTATCTAAATAGCCTTATAAAAATTAGTGTCTGAATTGGAAAGTACAATTAGCAAGTGATTAGAAAATGTACATGCAGGAAACATCACGCTGTTTCTGTCTGACAAAGTGGAACGAGCCTGAAGAAACACATTATTTTCTCTTCAACTCTTAAGCAGGGTTTACACTTCCTGAAATGCATTTGAATGATCTCTGGGTCTCCTGGTCCTTGAAGCAGTGCCACAGAAAGCCAATTTAGGTCTTAACAATTTACTTAAATGAAAGGAAATGAAATGTCTACATGAAAGAATAATGTCATTACCACTTGCACTTACAAAGTTTTATTTTGTGAAGAGTATTGTGTGTGTTTTAGGAAAGAGATACAACAGACTAACAGCCTGACTTATATTCAAGTCTGTTATTGAACCAGACAGATACCTGAATTAAAGGTTGAGGGCAATAATGTCCTTGTGAAAGATTATAAGTAGAAAATTTGCCCTTCATCCGGAACCACCAATCATTACATCACACAGTGCTTAACAGTAGTGTAAAGGGATGAAAGATTACTGGTGACTCAAAGCATGAACCCCTTACCTGCACAGGTGAACAAGCATTTCTATAAAATGATTGACCTTTTAAGTATATCATACATGAAGGCCATCACAACAGCATGGATTTAAACAAAAGATAGAGATGGAGATCCAGCAACTCACTACTGTGCATAATTTCTCTAAAAATTATGTTCTGTGCTTCTTATATAACATATTGATCTCAACTATGCTTTGAGAACTTGCTTAAATGCACAATGTAACAAGAAATCACAAAAATGTTCATTAAGTTCCAGCAGGTGGTCTTTGTTTCTGTGTATCAGTCCAGAACTGCCTAATAAAAATCTACTCCTATGAAATCTCTGCTTAGGAAGGTATCCATCTGTCAACTTGAATTTGATTTAAGATTATCTTTGTCCTCTTAGCTTCTATCACAATGCTTTTTTCAATATAGACTTTCCTTCATTGTACACAACTCCTATTGAGGCAAATACATGCACCTGTGCATATCTTTATTGATGAGTTCCTTCAAAAGTTTTGTTTCACCGAGCTTCAACCTCATCATGAATAAATATTCTATAAATATTTTTCGTTTTCCTTGTAGCACCTTCCTGAGGAGAGTCTCCATTTTCTTCACATTTTAAAAAACCACTAACTCCAGAAGCTAATGTCTGAGAGATACAGTTATTGTCAATCACATTATCTATTGCCTAATACACTGCTGGAAGTAAGACAATGACAATATAAAAGACTATACAAAATAAAAAAAGAAACTACCTACAAAAGCAACGAGATTACACACAGTGAACAAGCTTTAATGGGTCAGGCTTTGAAAATCTTGTTTTAGAAGGTTATTATACTCCCATGCACATTAAAATTGTAGCTACTACAGAAAACATGAAAGTGTGTGTCTTTATATAATTTGCAGACTATTCCTGCAGAATTTTTTCAATTTGTTATACTTATACCAGGTTAGAGATGCCTGGCTCGTACTTCAGCTAAGACAATCAGAATTAAATCAGTTTATAAGACTAACATTTGAATTGCCTTGCTTAGGATTCACATCATAAACCTGTGGAACAACTAGTGTAGTTCACAGCTTTGGCAGCTGCCATGTTAACTATTGGTAGTACTTCACTGATTCATTTTATGAATCTTTTCAACAAAAATGCGTTATACAAAACTCAATTCATTACCTTGCTTCTCACTCCAACTAAAAAATGCCACCACAAAGCACTGAAGAGACACACTGAATCAATGCCATAGCAGTGAATATTCAGTAGATAACCAGTGATTCACAGATTAGTGTTAATAGCCAGTCCAGACACTGTCTGAGGTAGAAAATGTTTTTCTATTAAGATCCCTGAAATTTTGAGATTTTAAAAGTGAATTTGATATACACAACATCTCATATATCTAAATATTATGTCTGATATAAACTATTCTCACAAATAATAAAATTCTAGTTTTCATAATCTGTGAAGGAAAAACTCAGGAGGACTATCAGAAAATATTTAAATCATGTAATCTTTGAACTACTTTTATGTGACTTGCACATATTTGTACAGTATGCTTGTTATAGGTTTTGAAAAATCCTATAGAACAAACTATTCAGTAGATTCAAACCCTTTAATTGCATTTTAGTCATTATTGGGCTGAAACATAAACAGGACTGAGGAATTTCTTTGCTACCTTAATGAGTTCCTGTTATTCCAATTCTACCTCACATTTCCTTTTTCTCAAAAAAGAAAAATTAAGGCCTAATTCTAGAATAACTTCTAAACAACTATCAGTTTGATTAAAGAGAATACTGACTTTTTCTTTAGAAATATACCACATTCACCCTTGGCATGAAATTAACTCCAAAGAAACTATCAACATAAGAGATGGAAATCCAGGCAGTCACAATAAGTATCCTAAACTTTGCCTGTGAATGATGAAAGTCAACTAATGTTCTTTCCAAAATTACTGTTGCTCTAATATGTTACCTTCTTCTGAAAAATTAATTATTCTGACAAATCTTGTGCTACTCCCATGTTGATCACACAAAAGAAGAAATTTACTTAATGCAAAGACCTCATCTGGAATCTTTCAGGTCTATTCTTTATAAAAGTTACACTAATATTAGGATGAAAAACATGAGAAAATCCAATGGATAATGATATATCTAATATTTTATATAATCCTCTATTAAAAGGGACAACACACACTCACTACATAAACCAGTGCAAAGGAAAAAGATAACTTAAAGGAAACAGGGGAAGTCTGCATTGCATTTGGCAGATGTGAGCTTTTACTGAAGACTTTTGGTATGTATATAATCTCTCTTCAAATTATTCACTGACATTTTTTGAACCACTTTATTACCATTCAAGATTTGCTTCTTGGCATATAGTAATTAAACTGAACTAATACACCATCAGATAACCATTCATATCCTGAGACTCTTGATTCAATCCTATCACTGATTTCCTCTAGAAAAATATTATTTCTATATAAAATTACTTATACAGAGAGCCTATGCTGCATCAACTCACCTGTAGTATGTGTGTTTTGAGATTTGAAGAGGCCAACAACACCTTTTCCATGAAAGCCCCCAGATCTCAGTAGAAGCGTACTGTTTTTAGTGTTCTTCCAACAGACAACTGGCAGGCGATTGTGACGGTAACAGCGAGCGACTCGCTGCAGACTGCTGTCTTGAACAGACTGAGGTACTACCAGAAGCCCAGGATAACTATTGACAAAAAGATGAAAAAATTTGACAGGAATTAAAATTGCTTTCAAAATTTTAAACAATGAAAAAAATTCCTAGAATCACAAGCTGAATGTAAATCTTAATGAAAATACACTTCAACTCTGAGAATTATTTTTTATTTAGTAATTCTCATTTTTAGTCCAATCTAGGCAAATATATTAATTTGTAAAGAAAACTGCATTTTCAAAACCAATTGTAATTATGAAAAATTTGTAATACTATCATTACTAGTCTCTTTCCATTTAAGGTTACATTTTATTTGGTAATATTTTTCTTCTTAGTAGATCTCTTATCTGTCACTATAATGAAGCCATACTTTTGAGCATTACAGAAAATTTTGAGGCATACAAATGATGCAGTGCTTTTGTTTTGACATTTGTATTTGAAATATGAGAATTGAAAGGAAAGAATGTTAGATTGTCTAAAGTATCACAACTAAAACAATAGTTTTGGGGTTGTGTCAAAAAACATTTAAATTTTACAACTGGATTCCTTGGAACAGTGTATTTGAAACTGCATTTTTGTGTACTTTTTAAAACAATACAATATACTGAGAGATTAGGAAATTCACTGATACAACTTTAAAAATAGAAAACCCAGGAAGATGGTAGTTGTGTTAATATTAGTGAAAGAAGGAATCAAGCAAAATGAAAGATTATTTTCTATGTCCTCCAAAAAATATACAATTTAAGTGTCAATTTCATATGTTAAGAAGAAACTAAGACAAGCAGCAGGGAAAAGTTAGTGCTTACTAAACAACTTTGTTCCTCTATAATATTCACTGTTCCTATAAATTCAGTTCTTCGACATTTATTGAACTGCCCTCATACAAAACCCATGTACATAACATTTATGGTCTACTTCTTAAAACACAGTAATCAAACTAGTATTTGATTAGTAGGTTAAGTATTTATATCCTGAGATTTGTAATCCACTCAGATATTAATTATCTTTTCCAAATAATCCTACAAATATTAAAAACTGGTGGGTTTAGAGGAGGAAAGAGTTGTCTGCATGATGTTCAAAGCATAATGAAAACGTACAGATTTAATGCCTTCATCTGCGTCGTACTCAATGGCGATTGAACAAAACCAGTTATTAGGCTGTCACTCTAGCTAAGTCAGACAACAAGAAAGGATCTAATATTTTCTGTGTGCCCTTTTTCCACGAACAACTGGTGATTTCACTATCCATAATGAAAGCAATAACTAGTCAAAACCAGCTTTAAAGAATACAAATGCTCTTCTGATATGACTCATGCGGATATGTTTTTATATTAAAAAGAATTTTTGTGGGTAGTGGTAGTAAACTACATCAGCTTTCCACATGAAAAAAGGAGTCAGTAACATTCATGTGTTAAAAAAAACACGTGACTTTGAGCACGACAAACTTTTAAAGTAGTGTAGATACCTTAATGAATTCAATTTTAAAATAGATCTATTTGATGAAAATGTTTATGTATAATTGTTTCTGAGGCTTGCTTTCTCATGTAGGAACAGAACAGATTTTATATGCAAATATGCTACATAAATAATTTCCAGTACCAACACAAGTTACAGAAATCACATCAAGAGAGTCAGTTCTGCCAGGTAACTTTAGTGGCTAGGTCAGAAAGCTGAAAAATAGCCGTAGAAAACCAAGAGAGAGAGAAACTTGTTCAAAAGGCATTTCAGAGTATCTAGGTTATTTCCTCCAAAAGCCCCACTCTCTTTCCATGGGCTATAGAAAGAATCTAAGAAGGAAGACTTGTGGTGTCTGACAGAGCTTCTGGGGCAGTTCTGAAAGCTCATTTCTGAAAGCTCTATTTCTGGCTACCATTGCTGGCACTCTTTCTGAATCTCCTGAATACATATGCGGCTACCAGAAGATGAATCTCTAAGTGGAATACAAATAGCTTCGAGGTCACTAGTTGAACACTCCTAGTGTAGACAAAAATTTTTTAAGAATAAATTCCTTAAATGGATACATCATATGGTATGTGTGTTATGCCATCGTTACTTTCAACTACTTGATTGAATTGGTAAACTCACCTCCTGCAAAGTGAATACATCCTGTTCAGTGCAGTTATTCTTAAGTATTCTGTTTTTGAGCGAGAAGAGTTACTACTGATGGTCCCTAGTCCCAAACGTTGATAGTCTCTGAAACAGGCTCTTTCTACTAATTGCTCCATTGTTGATTTTTCTGATGCTTTAAGGGTACCACTTGTGTGCAGCTCGCTGTCATCTGAAACTAAAGTTAGAAATCTTTGAGTTTGCTATTGGACAGGCCAGCAGTTACACAGAAAACGATGCTATTTTCTTCTGAACAAAATATTAGTTTGTCTTACTGTCGGTGACGAATGACAAGAACTAATACATACAAACCACAGTTTATAGAAGTTTCAAGGAATAAAATAATACTTTAGTCAGGAAACCTGAATATATCGCACTGTTACCTACTGCACTTGTGACTACCATGGCTTACTAAAATTACTCTTCACATACATGGCTTACTCTTGCTAAAATCCTGGAAAAAGTTATCTCATATATTCATTTGAGCTGAACTGAAGGCAGAAAATCTTTCTTTCAACAAATTATGAAAACCTGTTAAACTCTAAACTGCTATACAAAGATGAACACAAGACAGAATAATGAAAAATGTGCACAAAATTTCATTAAACATCCAAGATAAAATGGACCTCACAATTCTTTTAAACTATCTTCAAAAGATGTAAAAATCTTTTTAAGGCTCGGTTCAAATAAAAAAATGTTTGTGTGTCATGATTTCACAGATGACTGTTGGTTTCTTAATGCCTCAGTTTCAATGTCAAACAGCAGATTTATTCAGCCGTGCATGTCAGCTGCACTCCAAAGCAGAAAAACCTTTAACCATGAGAGAAAAACCATGTCACAAGTTCGAACTACACTGAAATTCAAGTCAAGCAAGGTCTTTGTACAAAACCTGCCACCTGCCTGTTACTGACACAGTAACCTAAGTAGTATAGAGTTTAATGCTGTGGCTATCTCCTTTTTTTCTGTGTTTTCATACTTTTTATGTTACAAAAGAAGTTACAGAACATTTACAAGTATAAAGCGCACTAACAAGAAACAAATGAGTTTTAGAAATAATTTTATTTTTGGGCATACAGAAACTTGGCATTTAACAGTTTTGAATGGAAAGCTATAACTGACTCAGACAATACGATGGTGCATTTTTTGAAATATTTTTTTTCTAAACGCATTTTTCTCTCATGAAAGCATGTATATTGGTGATCAGAATTTGCAAAACATTTTCATGTGCAAAAAAGACAGAGATTATAAGAGCTCATATTGGTATTCCTTAACCAGAAGAGGAAGATGTAGATGTTTTGCTATCTTAAGTTCAAAATATTTTTTTTTTATTTGATTTTGAAAAGAGGAGGAATAACCTCTCTATTTTACTGTTCCTGCGATGTGACTGACTGTAAATGTGGGTTTTACAGTCTCCTATTTTATAGAACACATCAGTATGATCACCTATAGAAAACAGAATCTAGTAGTGATGAGGTTCTAAACTCCAAAGATAAAAAGATGAGGAGGAATTGGAGAGAAATTTAGTGTTCATTAGCAGCAACTAATAACTAGAGCACTGTGCCCAGTTTTGGAAATCACATTGCAAGTTATATGTGGACCAGCTAAAGAGGACTGAGAAAAGAGCAATGAAGAGGATCAGAAGACTATCAAGATTAATAAACAAAGAACTGAAAGAACTACCGATATTTAATATTCAGAAAAGAACAGACGAGAAATATTACAATAGTCCATAAATACATTAAGCACTGCAATCGAAGAGAATAATCTCTTCTATATGTATATGACGGCAGAATAAGAAATGAAGGCTTTGAACTGTGGCATGGAAATGTTTAGGCCTGAATATTAGAAAGTTGCTTATTTTTTTCCAGCATTTAGGACGGTTAAAGCATTAGTACAAACTGCCTAGAGTTGTGGAACCTTCATCTTCGAAAGCTTCTAAGAAGTCAGGTAAACATCTATGAGGAACAGATTAAGTATGTTGATCTTGCCTTGGGGCAGAGAGACGTAGTAGACCATCTCTTGAAGTTCCTTCCAAGCCTATCTTTAACATTTCTTTTTTAAGACCCTACATCACCTGCTGCAGATAGTTGCCATTTGCTTCATTGTTGGTATAGCTGCAGAGTGTCCTATACTTCAGTTTTTGAGATTTGCAAACAAAAAGTCATTCACAGCAGTCAATATAAAAGAAATTGCGGTGATTAAATAGCAAACCTACTACAGCTGTTTGCACTCTGTCCGAAGCAAACAGTTACTACTGTTGTCAGCTGACTATACCTGAGGTGTCAGTGCAGCACGGAGATGAAAGCAAACTCTCAGACTTTAATCACCTTCCACATTCCCAGTCACAACATCTGGAAAGCTGCAGGTAGGAAGACTCACAATTTACATTTTTTTAATTTTTGTTAGGGGAGGAAAGAAGTGACTATCACTAATGTTTATTTAACACTTGTGTTCGTGGAAGAACGTAGTTGTTTTGTAGGTCAGCAATGCAAAAAAATTTCTTCATTGTCAAGAGAAGTACAAAAATACAGGTATGCTTGTGCTTGGTGTCTCTTGGAGAAGGACACAAAATGACCCAAAAATTGCACTGGTACAGCCAGCAATTGCTTCTGACCCAAAGAATCTGCAACATCAGAACATATACTAACTCAACACTTGAGGAAGGTGCTGGAAATTCAATTAAGAATGTAATTTTTCAGCACTATAAAGACATTCTGTATTTCTCAATCTTTTCTTTTTACCTTTATTCCATCACTTTCATCTGGAATGAAAGAAGAGAATGAATATATTTTAGGTTTCCTGGAATGGCTTTCTTCCATTTTGTCAAGAACAGAGACAGCGCAGTAACAGTCCTGCTTCAGACAACTTTTATATACCTGCTCATAAGTTGCATTAGTTGCCTTGCTTACTGACCAAATATTCAGAAGGAAAATTTGGCTTGTTTGATGTTTTGAAGAAATTATTAGTGTTTGATAAACACTTCGTTATCTGAAATGCTTATTTAATTATTTATTTTTTTAAAAAGAATGGTATGACAAAACAATACTTGTGTATGTACAGGAGAATCTGGTTCCCTCTAGTGGTTTATTATAAATTAGCACTGGTCCAGATGATATACCCACAGCCGCACGTGGTAGGAAAAGAAATATTTGGAAGAAAGTCAAACTCCACACTATCACACAAACTACACAAAGTGTCCAAATCACTTTCAACCTTCTGTCTCCAAATCGTTTCAACCAAAATTTGGAAAAATGATGTTCTCAGTAGCAATGACTTTTGCTGCTTTCAGAAGTCATTTGTCACTTCCACATTCACATAAGTCTCCCATAGTATTTGCTCTTTGAGTCTAACCAATCAATGCTTTCTCACGATAAACTAACTGTAGATGTCATGATGTCTAAAGATAAATAGAAACTACAGTATGCTTCTGTGCTGTTCCATCTACACTTTTATGATGTAAAAAATTATAAAAAAGCTACTAGATGAAAATAATTTGATAACTAAAAAAAAAATCTAGTATTTCGCTTTACCACTGAATGAAGTCAACTTCATCTTTTGCCTCATCATCACAAAACAAAACACTTACTAAATGTACATATTTGAAACCTTTCTCTTTTCTATCTCGGAAGACTGCAATTTCTTCTTGAAGATATTACTTATTCAATATATTGGAATGGAAGCATAAAAGGATAGACTTATCAACCAACATGGAAAAAAATGTTTTGTATTACCAGAGATATCATCATCTTCATTCCAGCCTGGACGATTCCCTCTTTCTTCCACTATTGTGCCTGTCTTCTTCTTTAATAAATATTGGCGTCCAATTGTCATCTTCCCAGCACGTTTTGCTCCTTTCACAATGCTTTTTGAGAAGGTGCTATAAATTCATAGCAATAAAAATATTTAGAAAGATACATATGATTTCCCCTGATAGCACGTATGGATTTTTATGATGAACCCACTTACCTAAGTAAAATGTATTTCATATTTTTTCCTTTAATATAATAAAAAAAAATATAACCTGCAAAAATGACTTTCTATATTAATTTTTAAACACCAATTTTATTATTTCGAGATAAATTTGTGTCTATTACATCTAATGGTAATGAATAAGCAGATATCATATTTTGTTTAGGTATTTGTATTTTGCTAGCAATGTGATAAAACTACAAGTTGAAAAAGTAAAGGCAAGAAAGATGGAAATTACCTTAAAGTTTTAGGATTCCATGACTAGTTTAGGATTCTACTTTCCTGCATCAACAATTCAATAATCAACACAGAATCACAGGAACTACCACTCTAGAACAGACTAATGATCCATCTAGTCTAGTAAAAATTAACGTACAACATGAACTTCAAAAGAGGACCCAAAGCTCAAAGTCCAGATTAAAAAACTCTAAGACAACTGTACAGACTATATTAAGAGTAAAATTAGTTCTAATCCACATTAAGTTATTAACCTATAAAGTAATACACCAGAAATCTGTTTTTTAAGTTGGCATAGTTTGCATAGCTGAAGATACTGCCTACATTGTGCATGTTTCAAAATGTAATAAGATACTTGTTTAAATTTACTGCAGTCAGAAATTTAGATAAATAACATATTCCTATACTAAACTGACACGTATATCATACTACTCTACCTCTTATTCATTAAATAAAAAAAATAGATGCTGAATAGCAATCAGCTATTTTGACTTTCCTGAAAACTGCTTGAACGATCTGCATTTCTACAAAACTGTCAGATTGTTCAATGTACTTGACTAATACTAAACAAGAATATCAGTAATAAAAGAAGAAGAATGACTATACCGGAATGAAGTGTTCTTTTCTTTTTGTTTTGGTAAAATTATCTGTGGTGCTGTTTGCCCAGCTGCAAATGCAAAAGTGCTGAAGATAGATTGAGGATAACGGAACTTCATTAACTGCTTCTTAAATATTTCCACCACTTCAGGACTGACTTCTTCATCAAATGCTACTTTAATTAACTGCATAATAAAGACATGATATGTTAGAAATGGAAAAAAAAAATACAGAAATTAAAAGATCCTAAAATGTATTAGCAAAATTCCCATACTTATGCAGTACTATGCCAATCGGAAAATACAACTATATGTGTGTATATTTTAATGATTTTTTGAGGGATATTAAACAGGTTATTAATTTTTTATTTAAATTTTACATTTCTGTCCTAATACTAAGATATTTTCACTAAGAAGCATCTGGAATTCTCATAATATCAAACACAAAATATTTTGGTAAATCCAAGTAGTAGTGTTGGCACTAAGATGTCTACAACAGTTTGAATACGAGTCATATGGGACAGCTTAGCTTGGAAATATTCTGCCAGCTCTGCCCATGTACTGGGAACTAAGGCTGGTAATGCACTTTAAAGACTCTCATCATACCAACAGTTTCAGCATTCATACGTCACAACCCTCATTTGTTACAAAAGGAACAGAAAGTAAACTGTTTGCTGATTGTTTTTGTTCTCATAAGCTAATACAAAAGTATGCTAAACAAAAGCAAAGATGATGTTTGACCAGAATCCAGCACTAAAAACACTGAGCTGTGCCTGCATTTAGCACATCATTGAAGCATGCTAACTATTCCGGTAAAAAGACTTCTAGAAAATAAAAGTCCTCATGAAATCTTCTCAAAAGTCCTCAAGAACAACTTTCTTTCAGTTGTTTTGCTCACTTGTGTTCTTAATCTTATGTTTTTGAATAGGATAGTGAAGGACGATTAGCTAAATAATGTCCATTATTACAAGAAAATAGTAAAACACTGATCTATTTTATTGTGTTTTCAAATGTTAGAGTTGTTGTTCTCAAAGAAAACACAGCTCTGCAGTCAGCCACCTAACAAAATACTTCATAGACTGCAGTCTACTTTCAGTCCATGATATAAAGTTCATTGCCTTCAGCTTTAAACTAGACTGGAAGGGGCAGAGGGATAATATCAGGCTTGTCTGTGACAAGCTGAGAGGACCTGAAGAGCAGCAGAAAGGAATTCCAGACACTCCAGCCAGTAAGTCAGCTTCAGGAGGGACCAAACACAAATGCCTCTACACAAACGCACATAGCACGGAGTTAGAGACGTGCCCATCTGCAGGGCTATGATCTTAGTGGCATCAAGGAGATGTGATGGGATGGCTCCTGTGACTGGAGCGTCAGAATGGAAGGATACAGGCTCTTTAGGAAGGACAGGCAGGGGAGACAAGGAGGAGGTGTCACCCTCTATGCCAATGACCAGCTGGAGTGCATGGAGCTCTGCCTGGGGATAGATGAGGAGCTGATCGAAAGCTTATGGGTCATGATTAAAGAAAGGGCAGGGACAGGGGACATTATAGTGGGGGGTCTGCTACAGGCCACCTGACCAGGAAGATGAAATGGATGAGGCCCTCTACAGACAGACAGGAGCAGCCTCATGTTCACAAGCCCTGGTCTTCATCGGGGACTTCAGCCACTTCGATACCTGTTGGAGGGACAACACAGCAGGGCATGAGCAATCCAGGAACCTCCTGGAATGCACTGATGATAACTTCCTCCTCCAAGCGACAGAGGAACCAATGAGGAGAAGTGCTTTGCTGGACCTTGTTCTCACTAACAAGGAGGGGCTGGTGGGGAATGTGAAGCTCAAGGGCAGCCTTGGCTGTAGTGACTATGAAATGGTGGAGTTCAAGATCCTTAGGGTAGTGAGGAGAGCATACAGCAAGCGCACTACCTTGGTCTTCAACAGATCAGACTTAGGCCTCTTCAGGGACCTGTTCGGTAGAATACCATGGGATAACGCCCTGGAGGGAAGAGGGGCCCAAGAAAGCTGGTTAATATTCAAGGTGTTAATATTCACGTCCTCCAACCTCAGGACTGATGCATCTCAAGAGGAAGTCGGGCAAAAATGTCGTGAGGTTTGCATGGATGAACAAGAAGGTCCTGGACAAGCTCAAACACAAAAGGGTAGCCTACAGAGGGTGGAAGCAAGGACTGGTAGCAAGGACTGGTAGCCTGGGAGGAATACAGACAAATTGTCTGAGCAGCCAGGGATCAGGATAGGAAAGCTAAAGCCCTGAGAGAATTACATCTAGCATGGGACATCAAGGGCAAAAAAAAAAAAAAGAGAAAAGCTTCTGTAAGTACATCAGTCAATGATAAAAGGAGGTCCAGGGAAAATGTGGGCCCTCTCTGGAAGGAACTGTGAGATCTGGTTATCCAGGATATTTAGAAGGCTGAGACACTCAGCGACTTCTTTGCCTCAGTCTTCACTGGCAAGTGCTCACACCACCCAAGTCACAGAAAACAAAGGCAGGGACTGGGAGAATAAAGAACCACCCACTGTAGAAGATCAGGTTCAGACCATCTAAGGAACCTGAAGGTGCACAGGTCCATGGGACCTGATGAGGTGAATCCACAGGTCCTGAGGGAACTGGCAGATGAAGTTGCTAAGCCACTATCCATCTTATTTGAGAAGTCATAGCAGTCTGGTGAAGTTCCCACTGACTGGAAAAGGGGAAACATAGCTCCCATCTTTGAAAAGGGTAAAAAAGAAGACCCAGGGAACTACAGGCCAGTCAGTCTCACCTCTGTGCCTGGCAAGATCATGGAGCAGACCCTCCTGCCAACTATGTTAAGGCACATGGAAAATAAGGAGGTGATTGGTGACAGCCAACACGGCTTCACAAAGGGCATATTGTGTCTGACAAATTTGGTGTCCTTCTACAACAGGGTTACAGCACTGGTGGATAAAGCATGAGCAACTGACATCATCTACCTGGACTCGTGCAAAGCATTTGACACTGTCCCACACAACATCCTTGTCTCTAAACTGGAGAGACACAGATTTGACAAATGGACCACTTGGTGGATAAGGAATTGGCTGGATGGTCGCACTCAAAGAGTTGCAGTCAACGGTTCAATGTCCAAGTAGAGGTCGGTGACGAGTGGTGTTCCTTAAGCGTCAGTACTGAGGCTGGTACTGTTTAACATCTTTGTTGGCGTCATGACAGTGGGATCGAGGGCACCCTCAGCAAGTTTGCTGACAACACCAAGCTGTGTGGTGTGGTTGACACGCTGAAGAGAAGGGATGCCATCCAGAGGGACCTTGACAGCCGGGCCTGTGAGAACCTCATGAAGTTCAACAAGGCCAAGTGCAAGGTCCTGCAGATAGATCGGGGCAATCCCAAGCACAAGTACCTACTAGGCAGAGAACAGATTGAGAGCAGCCCTGAAGAAAAGGACTTGGGAGTGCTGGTTGATGAGAAGCTCAACATGAGCCGGCAATGTGCCCTTGCAGACCAGAAAGCCAACTGTATCCTGGGCTGTATCAAAAGAAGCGTGGCCAGCAGGTCGAGGGAAGTGATTCTGCCCCTCTACTCTGCTCTCGTGACACCCCACCTGCAGTACTGCATTCAGCTCTTGGGCCCCCAAGAGAAGAAGGACATGGACCTGTTGGAGGGGGTCCAGAGGTGGGCTACGAAGATGATCCCAGGCCTGGAGCATCTCTCCTACGAAGATAGGCTGAGAAAGTTGGGGTTGTTCAGTCTGGAGAAGAGAAGGCTCCAGGAAAACCTTAGAGCAGCTGGTCCAGGAGTGAAATAAATCAAATATGAAAATGGCAACCCTCTGTAAATATCAACTGGGCCAAGAAACAGCAGGATTTGTATGAAAAGACTGCATTCTCCATTGACTTTACAGGGCAGAAAACTGAAATCTTCAAGACAAAGTGCTTCTCATTTTAAGTATTTTGAGCTGACTGTTGACAACGTTAATTTTTACAAAACTTCCTTTTACCTGAAAGGTAGCTGAAGTGATCTGCAATCCTTCCTGCATACTCTGCTGTAGCTGGTTCTGTATAGTGATCTTCTTTTCCTTTGTGACAGATGCAATAGGAAAGCTCCGGATCACTGTCTGCTCTCCAACTGAGGACCATAAGATTGCATTTATAGATACTTGTTAGATCACAGAATCAGATCTGATTTGGTCACATTGTACTTTGAACAGAGAGGAATGAATAAATGTAAAGCAACATGAAAATAATGGTACAGAATTAATTTCAGGCAAAATATCTGAAAAGATGATAAATCCTAAAGTATTATTTGTAATCTGAATTTCTGCTTGATTTCAGCTGGGATGATTAGAAAAATATTCTCCTTCCTTCTGAATCTTTCTACACGATGGAAATACACCCTCAAAATCTAGGTTGCTAGAGGGTAAAGAAACAGTTTCAAACTTTTTCAAATTTCATATTGCATTATACAACTTATAAACAACTAACAATATACACTGACATCTTTACATATGACCATAAACTTTTCATAATAAATTTATACTTCTGAATAATCATCTGCTTAGAAATGGCATATGTCAAAATATGAAAATTTATCATTCAGAAGAGCTATTTCCATTACATATTAAAAAGAATACTGAATTCATTAATAATTATTTTAGAGAGAATACTAGCTTATGAATATTTTTCATTTAACCCACTTCCAGTGGCTGAAAAATATATATAATGAAAAGCTAGGGGTGGTGGAAGCTGCAGATCTCATGCAGTATGTATGTTCTCTCTTGGTGAAAAACCTTAAAAATGTTGCTCAGTAAAGCAGCATTATTAGTCCAGCTTTACAGATAGAACTCAGATATAAAGACACTAAGCATTTTGTCCATTCAAAACAGAAAATCTATAGAAATCATTAAGGTATGGTCAGGAATGTCCTTATTTTCTGTCTCCAACTTCAGGTAGTCCATAAAAGCCCACAATACCATGTTAAGTCTCCTGAAGCTTCCTCTAAGGTAAATATATATTATGATTTTGTATTACATAAATTATTGAAGACTGCAGTCTAAATAGCTACCAAGACACAGAAATAAACAATCATTTGGCACCTACTGCCTCATCTGAAGAAATAAGTTCTAGTTGTTAAATGCAAAATGAAAATCAATGTTGTATCTAGTGACAAAAACCTATACTAAGAGATTATTCTTATCTGATCAACATGAAAAATTATACTGTGAGGTATAAACATCTTGACGTCGATGCTTGAATAGGTGGATAGGCCAGTTCAAAGTCCTATGTATCCAAAGGACCACAATTATTGCTGTTTAATTTTTCTTACCCAGTTGATCATGAGGAGTGCCTTTAAATACAATTCTGTAAGTGGTAAGGAACAATGCTCCTTCAGCAGGGAGGATGTGAGGACCTCCAAGCAGTCCTCCTGTAGCTTCCTCTCTGCCATCAGGATCTAGTAGCACACGGAGACCTTCACAAACAAATTCTTCTCCTGGCAGTAAAGCTGGTCGAAGAATTTTGGGCTGTTGCAAACAAATCAAAGTGTTAGTGTAACAGACATACTAGTCTTATATCTCACTCTTAAAATGTTTCAAAATAAAATCGTTATGAAACTGAGTCCAAAGAAGGAAGACGGAGTTTGGACTTGACTTAGAGAAATGGTCTCAAAAAACAGTGGGCATGCAACAGCTTGTTTATGATCAGAAGTTTGGCTCTACTAGTTTCTAAGTTCATATTTCATGAGACCGAAGCCAAGCACTTTATTTATCACTAGTGGAAATTTTCTTTCAATGTTTTGATGTTTCCTCCTAACATTATGAGGGGAAAAAAGATGACTAAATTGCATGATTCTAATACTTGTAAAGAATACAAATATGTTTCATAATACTTGCCTTCTGTATTGGTGGAAGCCGCCTACTCTCACGATGGACAGCCTCCAAGGTCTCTATGTGCATTGCTACAATGCCTGGAAAGCAGTAATACCATACATGAAGTTTCACATAATATGAAAGAGAAAGCTGCAATCTAATTAGAACTCTGACATTCTGAAATTCTCAAATTTAAACATCAAGTGAATATTTATTTGAAATTCAACTGAACTTCATTGAAATGAAATTGAATTTTATTTGAATTTCAATCTGAACAGGAATTGTAGTTTAGAAAAGAAATCTAACCTTCTAACTTGACTGAAAGTAACTGAAACTAAAAAGCGTGTTTCCCTCACTAGAAAAAAAAAAGAAAAAAGGAAGACTACAAACCACTTTTTTGGTCACAATTCTTACCTGGTATCATGCAATGAAGACCCTTGATATGGTCCTGTGTAACTCCACTCTCTGTGCAAACCTTGTCAATAAATCTGGTGATGAAGCGTACAACTGCATTTGCAACATCATTGTTCTCTGAGTCCTCAAACCCACTTTCAGTGTCATAACTCTCTGCAACACTGCCTGCAATGCTATGGACATACATAAAAGATATTTCAAGCGTGAAAAATTCAGCTGGTGATGCACATATGATGCTTGGCTAGAGACGGATAGGCTGTGGTTTTTTTTTTTCTAGTTACAATACGTAAGCCTTGCTAAAAGGACACGGTGGTACCAGAATTCCACTGTATTTTCACTGTCAGAACTGCACGGAGAACTTTCCCTCCATGAGTCTAGTGCAGACAGATTCTCAAGAGAAAAAATGCTGCTTGGAAGTGAGTTCTATGTCTTCTCTTCATAGAGTCAAGTATGTTATTTGCAAGCCATGGTAAACAAATATCCAGTTACATACAGAAAGCTACATTAAACACATATTTTGGCTGCAGAAAGCATTCAAAAGCTAAAAAGACCATAAGAAAAGTTTTTTGTGCATCAAATAGAAAAGGCAAGCAAGTCAGTGGGAAACGTACCTTGAACATCTAAAAATGCCTCCCATAATAATGTCAAGGGCCAGATTCACACATTGCAACATATACTGCAAGCTGTCTACTGAGCATCTCCTTATGCCTAAATCTAGAGGTGTTTAGTCAGCAGAAATGAGTATCCATGGGCAGTTTGAAACTGATAGCCCGCCTATCTTTTACTGGATGTCAGTGTTCTCACATAGCGTTCTATAATTTTATCAGGTTGGAATTCTGACGGATCTCAGGTGATAACGAAGACAACAAATAGGGAGGAAGGCTTGTTGCGAAATGTCCTGGATTTGCATGCTAGGGAATGTAACTGGTGGTGTACTCCTTCTGCCTCCTTAGCAATTTAACCTTTGTCACAGTGGTTTAGCCCTCTTGCTTTTTGTGACCTGAGTGCCTTTCTTTCTTAGAGCTGTTGCACAGAAATTGTGAATTTATGGATGCTATACGAATACTTTCTTGATTTTAGGTTCACATATTGTTTTTTTCAAGTTATATAAAAACTAACAAAGTAGTTTGTGGGCTGCTGTTTTCTTTCTCACCATACTCTTTGTCTTCAACATTTGCATTACTAGATTAAAAATTCTTACTCCAACAACAAAATTTTTAATGTTCCTTTAAAAGGTGATAAATTATTCCAGATTAAGTTCTGTTATTTAAGAGGAATCATGTTAGACTGGTGCTCTCCTTAATTAATGAAATTGAAAAGAAGAGAAGATACTGAAATAATCTAGTATTTGGAATAAGTCCTGCAAACTAAGAAGCTTTCAAAAACTGATGCCCATCCTGACTGATTAACACTAAACTTGTGTACCCACCTGTTTGTGACAATACTGTTGCTTCCGCTCTCCCAGTCACCAGCAGCTGATGTTCTCAATAACTTGTTCTTACTTGTATCCAGTGGTACTAGCAGGTAAACCATGAGGTTAGCAAAATGAATTGCCTGACTGAAAACTGTACTTTCCTCATTCTGGACTAGCTCCTGCTGAGTTTGTTTACTAAGAGTTGGCCATAATCGCAACTGCTCAGCAGCCAGGTCCATTGCTGTCTTATCTTGGTCTGGACCTACAGAATTTTTCTCCTAGAAGACATACAGAAAGAAATATAAAGACACAGAAGAAATACTGAAGCTGTAACTTAAAAAACAATGTTTAGTCAAAACTTTGTTACATTGTTTTTTAAACTTCTTCAATTACTTAAATTATATACTAATTTAAAAAGAAAAAGCAAACAGGGTTTAAAGAGAGTATGATTATAGTAACTGAGCTTTGAAGGCAGTTTACTGAAACATGCAAGTAGCACAATGTGGACATATCTAAGTAACATGATTTCTTTCTAAATCTTTTTCATGCTATATGATCTTCCACGTTTCTTCAGAGTGGTTTACCAATTTTAATATAGCTGCTCTCCTTAGCTTAGCCACTTAGTTCACATAAGAACAAGCATAAATCAGGCTGAGAAATAACACGCAGCTCACTGCTTGATGCCAGTGATATTCTCCAAATTCCTAGGACGTTCAGGTGAGGCAAGCTTTTACATAAACAGTTTCCAGATCAGCTGAAATATTCATGTTTTCACATGTTGGAGTCCAATTCTAGCATTTGCTTGAAGCAAACTAGATAGATGGCACATAGTCAATTTATATTATAGCTGGAGGAAAACAGAGTAAAGGAATCTGGCAGCCAATATTTGGGACCTAATGCCTTACGTTAAATTATTAAAGAAGTAGGTATCTTTTAAATGTTTTTTCCATACTAAGTTAAAGTGAGCTAATTTTCCATATAAACATGTGAAGGTTAAAGGAGATGCTTCATTTTACGTTCTACTATTCTTCACATTTTTCTTTACATAGTGCCAGATTGGAAGGGGCTCCCTGTATACAGTTTCTTTATCCCTGCTATGTCTGACATGCCTTTTCAGCTCTTCATTCTGACTACAGTTCCAGGAATATCTCTGCCCATTTTACTTCCTCTCTTTAGAATGCTGTACGACTATGGGTAGCATACACTTCTCAGTCACATAGTTGATAACGACATTTTCATAGAACAACAACAATTACAATGGCTGTGTGCTCCTTCTCAAAAAACAAATAAAAATCTTATTTTAGCATGCTGCAAGGCTTCCCATTATACTTTCATTTTTGCATTAGAGACATACTTTCTTCCTACTGAGACAAGACAATTTGTGCTCTGGAAAATCTGTCCAATTTTAATAAAGCAGACTGAGTGTCATTCAACTGAAACCACCCAAGGGTTTGGTAATAATCAAATACTGGACACTAGAACTGCTGGTAGCTTAGGTTCTTCATATAATAGAACTGTTTATAACATTGCTATATGGTAAGTTATTACTATCAGGAAAAACATCTACCTTAAAGAACGGAAAATTATACAAAAAGTGGTTGCTTGAAAAATTGTAAGAGCAATGTCAAATCATAATGCTTTGCAGATAAAATGTAAATTATTGTTATTTTTCATGTTATTGTATGCTGTTTAATATGGGAAAAATGAAAGAAAAATATGTAAAATTGGAGAGACCACAACTTAGCGCTCTATACCTTAGGAGGCAATTAAAATGCAAATAAAAATACTACCTTGATATTTACTGCAATATATTCTCCTACCTTTTGTCTCAACTGTACTGCATGGTTGTCGTCTTTGGCTGTAAGGTAGAGCGAGCGAACTTGATTTTGCACATTGCTATAAAAGGTTGTTTCCCAAAACTGTTGGTTGGTCCAGATAGGATGGTCTTGTACACAGGTGTAAGCAAACTGACTAACTCCAGCTGCTAATTTCTGAAAACAAAAACCATGCAAAATCAATGAATTAGTCCTATTATTTTATTTCCTTTAAAGGCTATGGCTTGAGTATTAGGGAAAAAAAAAGATAAAAATCAGTTGTATACACTGAAATATGCAATATATACCACATTTTGCATTGCGATATAGGAAAGAGAAATTTTCTCCAGTTTTGTGCCATTAAAGAAAATAACATACGGAAAGCTTATATACAAGTCTAATGCTAGTGCAAGGCATGGTTTTCTTGATTCACAGTGGAAAAATGAGACTCGAGGAAGAATTCTGTTATGATGATACAGAACACATTTCTAATATAAAACATTTTCCTTGCCAACAAAAATATCATATTTTTAGTAACCTAGTCCTACAACATAGAAATCAGCATTCAGAAAGATGAAAACTATTTCTCATTTTATTTAAAAGTCAGAACTACGGTAACGAAATTTAAAATAACTGTAAGTGGCAACTGAGTCCTTCCAAAAAGCTGCATTTGCGGCAACAAAAGAAGATCAGATACATTGTTCTCCTCATTGTCATCTACTGCACTGTGTGACCTAAATCTAGCTCCTGAAAGAGTACTAAATTGGGCATGTTCATTGAAGTCAAAAGGGTCTGGATCCCTATAAGGTCTCAAGCAAAATCACAACTGTTACAGCATTTCTCATTATGAATGCACTGTTTTTTTTCAAGTAGGTCTATTTATTTAGGTAGCAGTAGTCTCTCCTGAGTTGTTTAGTATTCTTGATAACCACATACAATGGAAAATTTATTTCAATGACCTGAATTATGAAGAATGAAATCTTCTATCATACGTTCTTACTTTTTGAAAACAAGGTGGCCACAAAAAAATTTGTGTTTTATACTGCATATAGCAAAGAAGCAGGTAATCTAAATACCTGCTTATGATTATTTCTGCAGTGAAATTGAAGAATAAAGTACATTACTCGGTGCCTCGTTTAATGATTTTCACTCAGAATACTACCCATACCTGAAATATTCACTATATCTGGAAGTTAAATTTTATTTTAATGATTAAGTTGTAAACCACTTTCTTGTAGAGCATGAATACTACTCAATTTAAAATTTATAATTGTACACAACAGTCAGTACATGTAATACTTCCTTACTAGGCATCCAGGCATTCAAGTGGAAGGCTAGGAAATGAAAACTGAAAATTTTAAAGTCCAGTTTACAGATGTTGTTTTTGCAATTCTTCAAGCTGTGTTTTCTACACTATGCTCTTTGAAGTACATCAGGAACTTAAAGTCCTGACCATGTGCCATGTATTTATTCCCTATCAAAGTCCTTTGAAGTGGTTTGTTTGAGGAAATAATACGTGACATGCCACAAAAATTTACTCAACTGAAATACCTTCTTGTGATTCACCATCAAAAAGTGAAAAATATAATTTTTTAATCATGCAGAATTTCATCAAAATTTCTTGGCAGCCTGTTAAGAAACATAAATGTGTGGAAGATTCAAACTACATTAAATGTGACTTTGTATATTCAATACAGATTGAAACAGAAGATAGTTGGTTTAACAGACTCCCACATTTCAGTTGTGATGCAGTTGATGGTAGCTCACAGGAAATGATAAGTGACAGCAGAGTAATGGCTCCTATGTTTGATTTAGCTGTTAAATCACAGAACAGGACAGTTCAAATTGCATCCTACCGATCTTCGCATTGACTGCTGGGAATCCCTTGAAAAAATCTCAGGCATACAAAATATACACTAATTCATGACTATGACAAGCCTGTTAATTAGCAGGACAGCTAACTGTACATTAAATTGAGTCTTTTAACTGTAAAAAATAAGAAAATGTTAAGACAAAAAATATGCAGGAGGACTACCTCTATCCTCCTGTAAAGCTACCTCCTTTACGGAAATGTTTATTCTTTAAGAGCTGTACACATTTCATATCTTTCACCATTGGCAGATGTGTTTACAGCTAGCTTAAAATCACTTAATTCGTTCAGCCGTGGTAATTAACATGGCCCACAGAATGTATCTGGCCCAATCATTCACCTAACTCAAAATCCAGAAGCACAAAACTCGTGTTAGAGAGGAACTGGGATGACTGGTGAATCATGGAATATAAATATGGACAACACATCTTGAAAGCAATAGTTATTGCTAAAGCCATAACATGACTTTTACTTTGAGTTATTCTTTATTTTTTTCACTAGCAGTAATTCCCAGCCACAATACAGCTGCAATAAGGGAGTATGATGTGGGGGGAAAAAGGGAGTCTGATCAAGCCTAGCTAGTTGGTATAATTAAGTCATGTCAATTTGTGTAGCGAATGCCACGCAAAGGAGTGATTTGAATATCAACCTGTCCAGCTGCCTTTGATGCCTCAGCCCAAACGAGGTAACTGTGTAAACTGTAAAGAGGGGGTGATCTTTGGCACAAACCCAAAAGAAAGTTTAAACTCATTACCCTGGGTCCATAGTAATAGTGTTACAGGAATATAAATGAAATAAATTATTTTCACATGGGGACAAACATGACAGGAAAGCTGAGGGGCTTTTAGATGCTCTTCCTGTGCTCACAAATTAAAACCATGAACAGCATGTACAAATGACAATTTTTAAATGATGGAGATTTATGTTCACATATAATGACATAAATCAACACGGACAGTAAGTCCTAGGCAAAGTAAAAATAGTTTGTTTACAAAAGGCTGAAAGAAAATCCATCAAAAAGCTAAGCAATCATAAACATTATCCTTCTCATCACCTGCCTGTGTTGAAACAAATGGCAAAACCTGATAGTGGCCAAAGCACAGAATCAAAGCCAGGACTTGTAGATCCAGGCTCAGCTCTGCCAGTTATTTCGGGCAAAACCACTTTGGATTCTCAGCTTGTTTAGGTTAGTTTGTTTGTAAAAAAAGCAATAAGAATATCAGAAGCACACTGCTTCTCCTATGCAGTCAAAATCCATGGACTAAAAATACTCTTGTTACAATTGTAAGCATGCCATGAAGCTTGCAGCGTCTATATTCTCTACCCTGGGAGTGCTTAGTCAGCCCGTTTGACTAGAATGGAAACTAATCCGATACATCAAAAGGGCCTCCATGTTTACTACTGTATTCAAAATAATTTGCTTACATTTCTCCAGTTTAAGTAGAACAGTAGTTCAGTGTTTTTCAGCAAGCAATACTACATACATAAAACAAATCACCTACCTTTCCATAGCATAGCTAAACTATACTGATATTTATACTCTTTCTCCCTGTCTCAGTAAGTCATTTCTGCCAGACAGAATGAATGCAATAGGCAGCAAAAGAATTTCCTACTTACAAGGGAGGATTTAAAGCTGACAGCTTAAAAAAGATCTCAGAAGTAAATAATAAAAATAGTTCTGAACTGATAAAAGTCCTTATTCTAAAGTTGCCTGTAAAACAGCTTAAACGAGCATTGAGGTGTAAATCGCAATAACCAACAGGAAATGAGTTAACTTCTGCAAAGGACATCCAGTTCTTTCAATAGACTAATGGCACTCAAAAAACCCCAAACACTTCCCTCCCAAATTACGTATGAAACAGATCGTACTCATATCAAAATAATGAATTACATTCTACTGTTTGTGAAAACACAAGGTAGATTTGGGACTTGCTATGTGTGACTATATGGAACTCCCTGAATTCAGGAATTATGTTTACATTATTTCCACCTTATTGAGTGGCACTAGTCATACCTGGCGATAATTTTTTCTACTTCCTGACACTGTATACTTCCGATTCTGAAAATTGTACTTGTGGCTCAGTAAAAAATGTGCACCAACTCCAAGACTCCCAAACTTACTGTGAGGTGCAAGTCCCCAGGGAGATTCTCTACGACACTGAATTTAGATTGCTTGTTTCTGGAAAAGCAAAGCATGCTTTGTGTTGGTCACTCATCAGTCATTATCCTTTACACCACAAAAGCTTAAAGAAGAAAGCAAGTTTATTCTAGCAAAGCAAAGGATCCAGTTATGGATTGTGAAGTTGGAAAAAGAGTTACAAAACAAAACAAGTAAAAAACAGAATATAAATAAACCTGAGACTGCTCTTTTCGCACAGGATTTTGCTGCATGTTTCTTGGCTATGGAAACAAAGAGGCAAACTCAACAGTACTCTATTTTTTAGATAAATCCAGTTTTACTTCAGAAGTCAAATGTATTTCTGTCTCCAGCTTACATCCTGGGTTATCGGTTTGGATATTTTTGGTGAGAAGAGGAAGGAAAAGAGGTGAGAAGCAGGTTGCTGCTGAATACAAAGATAGCTTCCTCCTTGGCTCCTCGAGGCATCACTGTGCTATCGGTTATCTGCTTGACCTCTGTGAGAAAGCTATGGCAACATGGTGAAACTACCCACCAATCTCCTTTGCATACCAAAGGAGATCACAGCACTTCCTCTCCTGTATTGGTTAAGGTTCTCCCTGGAAGTCTTCAGTGTAAGGTTATAGATCATCCAGGACATAGTGACATTGCCACTTTACAGACTTTCTCCCCATCTAGGAGCTGTTTATATAGGCCTTCAGTCAATTCCCACCTATTGCATATCATTAATAGGTACCACTTACTGTAGGCAACACACTGCCCCTCTCCAAGGTGATGTAAACCAAGTTCTGCATATGAACATATTCTATGAGCCAGTCCTGCACGCAGGTCTATGTTGTGCCCACACAGATACCCGCTAAGTTCAAAAAGACTTCAAAGAAGTCCCACAGGATCAACCCACATAGACTGACCTGCAGCAGTGACGCTTATCTACATATTACCTGCAGACAGCGCTGTATTATACCATACACACATATCAATATTTATCACAGCATGCATATACTCAAACAAGTGTAAGTGTACATGAACATGTTTTCAAGTCTGAGCATTACACGCGTAACGTCAGTCAAAAAATTCAATTCAATAAATGGTTTTCCCGTTTGGTCTAAAATACAAAACTATACCCACATGTATTGTACGCACAAATGTGGAGAAAGGTCATAAAAGCAT